CGCTTCGGGCCTTTTGTCGGGCCGCTTCACAGAAACACGGGCTCCACCGCCGCGTGTGTTCTACATTGTACCCCGTTAATGGCTAGGATATTTCCTGTCGTCTCGTGACGAACGCTCGTTCGCTCGCGCTGCTGCCATTCGCATCTGCATAAAATTTCGCGCCGCTATTCGGCGAGATGCAACTAGTGCGCGCACACGTTCGATTGCGACACCCGTGACATTTAGATATCGAACGGAGCAGCCGGGTATCGGCGTTCTCTACCTGCCTTTTTCCTCCTTGGGAATTCCCCCTTTCTTTTTTTTATTCTTTCCTTAAATATTTTGACAGCTTACGTGTGTTAATCTTGTTTTCTTACCTTCGACATGTTTTATTTTCGAAGCATCTTCTCTCGGCGATTTTCTTATTTACGTTACCTGCGTTAACCCTTCGCCTTGTGATTCTTTAATGGCTATGTTTATCAGTGACAGTTACTCGTCGCTTGAATCATGCAGTAAATGAAAATAATTATGACGTTACATATTGTTTCTGTTTAATAATCATCAGGTTTATAAATCGGAAGTGAAGTCAGAGTTGAAGTTGAAATTTATTGCATAGAGAAATCTTAACCGTAATCTACACGATGAGTGCGACTCGTTATTGCGAGGGAAAGGATTAGTCTTCTGTTATTTTTCAGATCTTTTAGTGATCAGGAAAATTCTTCTTCTGTGTCTCTCTTCATTTTATCTTATTTAACGAATGTCACTCGTTATTATAAGGAAAAGGACGAATCTTCTGTTATTTCTCAGATTCTCCCTCGAAATTTAACCTTGCATATTTTTCTTTCATTTTCCTTCTCGTTAGAAGCGACGCCTTCGTTCTCCAAACGCCTTCCAAATTTTCCACGCTTTTCGTACCTGAGAAAAGAATTTATTCCCGGCATTGGAGCAATTACAACGTTAACCCTTTCACGACAGGGACTTTCGCAACGCAGGAAACAGTCCGTGGAAGTTGAATTTGCAACGGTGGAACGGAGAGGTTTGAAATCGAACGAGTTTACCCAATATCTCGCTATCCACCGGATGAATGAACCGATCGACACGGTTAGCCTCGAAAAATCTAGCGCGTGGAAATCACCGTGAAACGGACGAGCGTGTGCGTGGACTTGGTTAAGAACACGAGTGATTCATGAAACGATATTGAATATAATTTATTCACGCGTTCTAATGCAATGACTAATCGGCTCTAGTCACTCGTTAACGTCGTATCACAGATATACACTTGAACCCTCGTCGCATTCTTATGCGGTTGTTCTGCATACGATGCATATCTGATGGAAGCGAAACACACGAGGGAAAAATTTACGAGCAATCTGTCACACAGCCAGTCCTCTAATGCCGTATCCATTTTTTCTTCTCTTCTCGTAGATAACACCGATTCAAAACGTTACTTCCTACGCGCGTGTTCTATTATTATCTCCGGAATTTCCATTCCTTTTCTCCCCCGTCTATTTTTATATATATATATATAAAACATAAAACTACACGCTGGCTATCGTAAATATTGTTGCTCGTCGTTCTTTCAGGCCCGCGATAGAGAGAAAACGTATCGCGTGGCCGTCGACAAGAGCTTCTTTAGATTACAGGCTGTTTACAAAACGCGATAGCGGACACGTGCTTTATCGAATCGCGTCTCGTATACACCTATGCGCCAAATGCAGATAACCCGACCTCGTGATATCGTTTCATATTTGGCACGTTCGGTTTGCGAAAAAATCGCCGAGTAAAAAGTAACGGAATTCTCTGGGATTGATTTATCAGCGAGAATAAGAAGAAAGAGAAGAGGTACTTTAAAATTGTATCTTCGAGCAAGATCTGGAAGAAGCCTGCCGCTGATTGTGAGTCGGAGGATCTATAAATCTTGCCGCGTAGAATTGACTGTTTAACGCAGTCAAGGTCTTTTACCACGTTGCGTTTTTATCTCCGCCGCAAATCGTTAGGAATACTTCATCAATTAGAGGCATACACGAGCCCCTCTGTAATTGCGTCGAATCTTCGAACAATCTTCTTCTGTACTTCTTCATCTACGAGAAACTGTCGCAAAACAGCAGACGTTAACGTGTATTTAAATGTTTGCGGTCGAACCTTGGGTGTTCCTGGTAAGGCGTTTTTACCTTCCAAATTCTCCGTGGACCCTTTGCATGCAGAAACGAGGGGGGGAAATATAATATGCGCGCAGATTAAACAGACTCGTTTGAATGATATTTATACGTTTTTTAGGCAATAATTGACTATCAAAAGCGCGTTATTAACCCTTTCGCGACGGCGGAACTAGTCGTCGTGCCATAAGTGCACACCATGAGTGTCTCGCGTTTTTCGAGCTCCCAGTGTGTCCGCGTAAAATCTTAATTTCGTTGGAACAGCAGAAGACTTAAGGATGTATCGAATAAAGAGAATGTTGTCGAGGCCTTGTTCTGTATTTTGAAATAAATCCGGTAAGAAATCTTCACTTTGAGTTGAGGCGACGCGCTTAGTGGATGCCGGATATAACCGGCGCCAGTCGCGAAAGGGTTAAAAAGTAATTCCGACCAATAAGATTACCATGCCTTAATCAAACGTGAAACTTCCCTTTATATTTGCAATTTTTTCCATCGAAAGAATTTCGTCCTTTGAAAATATTGAAATTACGTATAAAAATTGTCTCGTATCGCCACAGGTAGAGAAGATAAAATATTTAAACATGCAAAATAGTACGACCTTAATTTTTTTAATCAAACGTGAAACTTCCTTTCATTTTTACCATTTTTTCCATCGAAAGAATTGTTCTCCCGTTTCATTCGTCCTTTGAAAACAACTGTTGCAAAACACGATGCGTATTTAAACATGCATAACAGTACGACCTTATAATTTTAAATCAAACGTAAAACTTCCTTTCATTTCTTGCCATTTTTCCCATCTTATTCGCCCTTTGAAAGCATTCAAATTACGTAGAAAAATTGTCTCGTATCGCCATAGCTAGAGAAGACAAAATTAGGTCGCCCGTTTCACGCGATCCACCGTGTATATTGCAATCGCAGCTTCACCCAATCCTCACAGACATACCATAGCAAAGATACCATCTCGAATCGATTAAATCGAGAGCGACTTGTTCCAAAGGAACGTTTCTATCCATCGGATGATCCTCGATTGTCGGCTTATTGGCGTGTCCACCATCGGATTCAGAGCTCAACAGCAATGCTAATTGCACCGGAACCAAGTAACCACGCACGCACACACGCTCCTCCTCTTTCCTTCCACTCTCTTCCCTACTTTCCTTTTCACTTTCCTTTAATTGCAAGCCTGAGAGCCAGCGCGTGATTACTCAACAAACTGTAAACGATTACGCGAAATTCACCGCGTTTGCTCTTCATCGCTGCCTCTCCTCCTCGGTAAATCAGAGAAGAGAATTCTTCGTCACGCGGCTCGCCTATCTCCGGCAAACTTTTCTCACCGTGTGTTTTCCTCATTCACACCGGTCTGTTCGTATTATTAATTCGTTAAGGAACCTACTAATTAGCCTCTATTGTTGCTAATGCACGTGTTACGTTCCTCTCATTCTTCCCTTTTCCTTCCACCGTTGTCTTTCTCTCTCTCTCTCTCGCTCTCTTTTCTTTTATTAATTTCTCCTTTAAGTTCATATGCGCATTCGATTACGCGTTTATCTCGTCGTCTCACCGTTTCCTCCCCTAATTAATATGCCGCCGCTCCGGCAACGACCTCGTAATTCCATTCCGCTCGATCCAAGAGCCCGTCTGGTGTAACGATACACGGAACGTGTTTTATTTCCTCGTGGCGAGTCCACTGCAGAAACGGACGAATTTTCACGCCGAAAGTTTCCAAGTAAAACGTACATATACGAAGAGCTTGCGTCGAATTTATAATTGGACGAGTTTCTAGGTTCGCGATTTCGTTCTTCGTGTTTTTTCTCTTTTTCGTTCCTATGAATTGTTACGACCGCTAGCTTTCGTATATACGTGTATTGCGAAACGACGGTGGAGAAGTTTGATCGACGTTAATTGGTGCGTTACGTGGTACGATCGGAAAGATGTAAGCGCGGTAGAAAATCGAACCAAGTTTCTTTAATCAACGCGAGGTGAAAAATTACAATTTTTTTTTCTCTCTCTTTCGTATTCTGGTAGACAACGTTTCGTCGAGTGTTGCGCAAGGGTGAAAGTAGGAGATTCCTTTGGAGAGAGAGAGAGAGAGAAAAAGAAAAGAAAATTGTACCGTGAGCTTGGAGAATTTACTATTCCTTCCTGTGTTTTTCGTCGGTTTCTTCCGCTGAACTTCACTCCGAGAGCTTCACTTCTTCGATCGTTTCGCAATGTGTACGTGTAATCAGAGCGTGCTTCATGCTCTCTTCTCCGTGACAGAATTATCAAGCATGCTTCGCAAAGGATGTCCGCGATAAGCGGCGGCGTCATCGACCGCTTGTCGTTCTCTCGAAACTCTTATTCACTGTGATCTCCATAATTTCTTGCTCGAGGATACTAGAGCCGAGTAGATTTTTCGCGGGGCGAGCGAACGAAGGACTGGAAAGAAGATTTACCTCTGATAACACGACAGTCTGTCGATGAAACTGACCATTCTTCCACACTTTTTAGTCAACTTGGTGGAATCGCTTAATTTGAGTGCGCGCGTTTAACCCTTTCGTTGCGACAGATTTTAATAGGTAACGCGTGTTAAACGATTTCTTGACCGTCTTGTTTGAGAAATTAAGGTGGAAGGGCGCGAAGAATGAAATTAGAAACTATTTTTCCAACTATACGTAACTGAAGGAAATTTGAATATCGTGGGATCAAGTTTAGGTTTGCTCTTCGATAGTCGCAGAGCGTTTCACCGTGGACTCGTTAATTCAGCTCGAGGCGGCAATTATCGACGCTTAATTAACCGTGTCCACAGAGAAACGCACGAAGAGTGTGCGTTTTCCTCGCTGGATAATCGAGTTTCCCTGCTAAATCCGCAATATTTCGCTTCTGTTGCAGACACATACCAAAGGCGAAGGCTACCACGATGGCGGAAACGCCGGAACTGAAGCGTATCGCGGAGAACACGAAGATTCAGAGTAACGTGAAGTACCACGCCGAGTTCGAGAAGGCGAAGGGTAAATTCACTCAGGTAGCCGACGATCCAGAAACACTGAGAATTAAACAGAACAGCAAGATCATCTCGAACGTTGCTTATCACGGCGAGCTTCAGAAGAAAGCCATCATGGAGCAGAAGAGGACGATGACCGGTGAAAACGGCGAACAAATCGGTGAGTCCGATGTTTGTCCTATGCGTCTCTCACGTGTGTCCTTTTCTATACTCGTCCCTCTGTGACAAATTTCTGTTTAAAATTGGTCAAATGTTTTGGGTACACGGTATTGGTCGAGGGGTAAATGGAAGCTCTTCGAAACGTTTCTAATACTCTAACATACGTGTTAACATTCGCACTGGGTTGTGAAAACACTCGAGAAATGCTTCCTTACTCCCTTTTATGGGTACACTATGTGATACACACAGGGGATTGTGATATAAGCGGAGATAGCAGGTTTCAGATTAGCTGCTTCAGCTATGGATTACTTCGAACTGTCTCCAAATTTCCTTACACGATCCTTGAGATATAGCCTCTTCAGGGAAGCTAACGCATGTGTACATTTCAGTTTTTCTAAAAATTCCAATATTTGGTATCAAAATTTCCCCTGAAGAGGAAAATAACACCGGAGAAGAAGAGGAGTGTCCTACTAACCGATTAATTACCGCACAGCCACGAATTATTGTTTCTTTCACCCTTTGTTAACATTATCTTACCAAATTCCCCTGTTAATTCGATTGATAGCGATATAGCGTGTTAGATAAACTTCGTCGACGTATAAATAGCGTAAGTAGAGATACCCCGAAATTTTCCAATTACCTACTAGAATAGAAGAACGGTCCAAAAAATGAGAGGGGTCGTTTAAAATGGCGTAGAAAGGTTGTCTCGAAAGCATATCGCCAGCTTGTGTATTGTTGAATCCAGAGTACGTAGAGTACACGGACGGTACGATCGCGCCTACATCGGGCGTGAACGCGAATCCACCGGCCGCTAGAACTGCGAGCTCGCCGGTGCAAAGGACACCAGGTAGGATCGCCGATTACGATCCCCTTAGCGAGGCGAGACCGAGCCCCTATTCCGCCAGGCAAGCAGCCACCACTGTGATTTATACGAGCGACAAGGGACCAGGTGAGTTCTCGCCCATTTTACGCTCTAGATATCCCATTTTCTTTTCTCTCTCTCTCTCTTCTTTTTCTTTCAACGTGCCCCTTCACCCTATACAAATCAAATTCGCCCTCTTTTCCAACCTTTCATTTTTATTTCCACACTGTGTAATAGCGTACAGAGTGATCTATCGTGATCTACAGTAACTTTAAGCGATCTACATTGTCACCTAGAGTAGAGATCTATCTATCTATCTTTACCTAAAGTAGATTTAGCCCTTTAACGGCACGCTTCGACGGTGAAATTTTCTATTGCGTGTTTCACGATTTTTTCACGCGTGAAAAGTGCTTCACAATTCGCGATATATTCTGCAATACACGCCTTTCGCAGTTAAAGAGTTAAAGCGGTCCATTTAGACCTTTGGTCTCTATTTTAGCGCGAAGTAGCTTTAGAACAACCGAGAAGTAATTCCCGCTGCGTATAGTTATCACATTAGCGTCGGATGACGCACACATGCGTCACTCAGGTTTTTGACTTCACTCCGGATGACGCGGAATACGTCATCGAGGTTTCGACATATCTAATCTCAGAATAAACTTACAAAACTCTATAAATGACTAAATTTCTAGACCTTTCACGAATTGAAACAATTTTATACGTGTTTTACCACTTTCTTCAAAATTCCTTTGAAATCTATTAATTAGTTAACAAGTTGCAGCAATTTTTTGCTTTAAAAGACGCGAAATCACTTGTGTGAAGCGCGGCTAAAAACGCCCCGACGCTAATGTGTCGAGATATACAGGTCACAAGAGCGGGGAGCGCTAGTGAAGCAACAGGTAGAGGTAGTGGGGGGTCGCGTCCTTGAGCGATCGAACGAATCTGGCCAGACTATAGCCCGCTAGAAATTCCTATCTCAGCGGTATCAAAGTGGGATTGGCTAATCAGAATGAATGGAACGCCCTGTACACTATCTGCTCTACTTCTTTTCCCTGTCCCAACAGCGAAACGATACTTAAACGCAATTGGAACGCAATCTTCGCTCCCTTGTTTCGTGTATCAACGGTCGTATGGGTTGGCCATTGGGTTGCGCAACCGGTAACAGTTAGTTTCAATAGATCACCTTTTAATTGGATTAGTTCGAACGAGAGATAGGTGGATACAATTCAAACCGCTCCTATTGTAACGTCGGCTCTGTTATTGTTTTTTCTCCGCGAATGACATCACCGGTGAATTTGTCACGCGTCGTTCCTCCGTATAAAATGATCTGCTTCTCTTGTTTCTGTGTGTTACATTTTCTTCTGCGAAATCTATAACGCATAATCGGCGGAAAAATGACTGTGGTTAACGGTGGCTGGTGAAAACAAGTATTATTTGTCCCTTATTATTTTTTTTCTCTCTGTGCAAATCTGTGGTGCGTTCACTTTTTGTTGTTGCCAACTCACCGATTCACTGGTAAAACAGCTTCACGATTTTTGTTCCTTTTTTTTTTTCCTTTTCTTTTGTTACGTGCACCAATTTTTGTATGTGTTTTGTTGGGACGCAGAGCAACGGGTATTGTACGATGTCGTTGTTCGACACGGTGAAAAAAAAGGTGGCTTTTCGCAAGGAAGTTTTCACGTTCGAAGTGGACACTTTGTTTCTTCGGAGATGAATCGATTCCTCGAGCGAATTCTTCTCGTTGTGTTTAGAGATGTTTCCCTTTTGAGTAAATTGAGCGAATCGGTTGTAGTGACGAATCCACCGACCAGAAAGATCGGTTCTGTGGCGGATATAGACCCCGTGAACGAGTACTACGGATCGTTGACGCCAGCAACGAACAACAACCACGTCCCACCACAGCATCAGCCGCCTCCACCACCGCCCACCAACGTTGGGGTAAGTTTTCCAGCACTTTTTACCGTTACCTGCTTCCAATATTAGAAGTGGAAAAGAGGAATTTGTAATACGTTTCATAACGCATGTGTCACTATTGATCTACGACAGGAGTACTCAAGTGTCACGTGTATGGCACAATCGTTATTATCTCCGAAAAGTATTCCGAGTGATACAGCTTTTGTTTTATGTCACCAAATGGACCAGTTTTTCTTTCGTCTTGTACGCTCGAACTGAGATCAGAATTGTGTGATCTGTATTCGTTAAAACGAGCGATAATAGAGAGTGTTACTCTTGTTTTCTTCAATCACATTAACCAATTAACTACGTAATTTAAATTAATTTAAGTTACATCGGAATAAGTTACAATCGATTTATACTCGAAAGCCGCTATAGTGTCGCACCGTTCAAAAAGGCGACCTCCGCGAAAGCCACTGTAGCGTCCTTCGTTAGGTTAATTAAATTTTACTCCAGTAGTGGAATTTCTCTTCTCCGATTCGAAAATGATCGAAAAGCAGATACAAAATCGAAATCTTTCAAACTCTCTAATCTCCCCGTTCCCCCGTCGATTTCCAGAGGATGTACAGAGCAATGTACGACTACGAGGCGCAGGACCTCGACGAGGTGAGCTTCTGCGACGGTGATCTGATCGTGAACTGCACAGCGATCGACGAAGGCTGGATGACTGGTTTGGTGCAGCGTACAGGTCGGCACGGCATGCTGCCAGCGAACTACGTCGAACCGGCGCAGATTTAAAACGCCTTCCTTTGTAACTGCGTCTTCCTCCGTCTTCGTTTCGCCCGGTGTCCCCCAAAATGCCACACCACCACTCTCGATCGAAAGGACCGCGCACCGTGGCACGAAACACGGGATTAGCCGTGCGTCACAGGGAGCAGCCACTCAGAATGGGGCTCCAGAAAAGGAAGACACTCGAACGTGTGTACACGTCCTTCGAGGATTCTCCTCTTTCGTAGAATCGAGGGCGAGAAACACCGTGTACACCGGTCGAGTCGAAATAATTTGCCGTCGTCTAAATGGGATACGTCGATCGACGTACGATGAAGGATATCAGAGAGATTCTTTTTCTTTTTTTTTTTTCTGTTACGTCGACGTGCGATTCTCCTCTGTCTGTTATAAGTCTGTAAAGGTTCGTGGTTGTATTCTGCAACGAAATCGCCGATCTTCCTTTTCCGTAGGGTTTAGAAATGTGAAAGGTCTGAATCGAATTGGGAACACTTTTCTCGCGTTCGAGATAGCTAAGACAAAATCGCGATGTTTCTTCACACACACACACACACACAGTGCCTGCGTCGTTTTTCTCGCATTTAAGTCGGCAAACTTAGAGGGTAATTCCATGTTGGGACCAAATTCTGCTTATTGCGAGAAACATACAAGTGTCTTTCGCTGAAACAGTAGTTCTTCTTCTAACGAGAGAATCGATACAATGGTTTTGCTTTTTTTTTCTTTATTTTTGCTGTGTAATAACGTTTGTCGAAACCATTCCGTTGCTTCGAGGATTCCACGGTAATTGTTATTGCGACATGACGGTTGCGCGGTGACAAAGACTGGAAGGTCCTAACGTTTGTAGTTTTAAAAATCTTTTTTTTTTTTTTGTAAGTAATTCTGGCACGTTTTTTTATTTGTAACAGTACGACCGTTTTTTTTTTCTTCCTTTCTTTTTTTAAATACTTTACGCGCATTTCACGTAACCTCATGCATGTCCAGGAACGATTTTATTTTCGCGCGAGAATAAACAACCTGTCGGCCTTTGTTCACCGCAGCGCAACGTCCTGACTATTTCTCTCTCTGTTTTTTAAACATTTCACGAATCATTGGAACGTACAGTATGCAAATTGCATCGCATATTTATTTACAGAAATTGTATAGATAGTATCGCAATATTATGTGAGAAAATGTAACGCGTTACAATCGTCCATTGTGATCAGAAGGAAAGAAACGATGTGCCTTATATACGTAGACCTCTTTAATTAGGACAATCTTTACGCGAGATTTATCGTCGCGATTTAGATGGAAGCAAGATAGATGAAAAGGATTATGTATAATAAAAAAGAAAAGGATAAAACGTTACGTATCATCGGAGCACAGAGAAGGAAATTTTTTCATAGGAGCTAACGTGAAAGTGAATCTAGTTAGGATTATATATATATATATAAAACAGAAAAACAAAAAAAGCGAAGAAGAATGTAATGTAATTGTTGATAGGAAAGTTTCGTTACACTTGCCTTGCTCGATTCGGAGCATTTCGATAGAAAGCAACGATCGCTGGAAAACCTTTATTACCGTTTCTCTTTGACTAATTAACGACATTAACCGACATTTACCTATAATAGCTGTTAAGTTTTTTTTTTTTTTTATCACGCGAGGTTCGCCTGTATTTAAATGCTTCTTCCCCGGCTTTCTACGATCCTCTTTCAGTGCTGACCAAGCGATCCCCAAGTGCGGATATTCCAAAGTACCCGTTTGACAATTGAAAACTGTCGATTTCTAAGTTTAAATGTTATCGCTGATCCTTACGACAGATACGTTTTAGTTGTAAGTCGTAACAAATTTCACTTGTATCTTCCGTAAAAATCTTCTTCGCGTATGCGATTTGAAATTCCGATTCGACTTTAAAAGCGTTACAAATCTTTCAATTTTTCTTTCACACGGAAGAAAGAGATCGTCCAGTTTATACGTCAGCGTACATGTGCAGTTGAACGAAACGCGTTTCTTGAACCTTTTTACCTATTTTAGATTCGACTAATCTCGCTTGCTAAGAACACGCAGTACTGAAACGATTGGATCGCTTTTTTCTCCATTTCACAGATACGTTTTCTCTCTGTTACAAAAGGTGTTAAAACACATGCGGGTTCGCGGGCAATACGAGACAGTGATCGTCCTCTCCGCGACGGTCTCGATTTTCTAGATAGCTTTATACCTCCCTGACGTTCGGTTAAATGTACAGATAATATAGCGATCGAGGAAATTCGAACTATAATATTATACGAACATCGTGTCGCCGTTGCGGAGAGAGTTCTATTCGCGGAATATGTCCATTCTTTTATCTCTCTCTCTCCTTCTCTTTCTCCCTCCCCATCCCCACAATTCGTTGATGAATTGTCTTTGAAAATTGGTTTTTTCACTCTGTTTGGAAATTTCGTTCCGCAGAGACACGTACATACGCCGTATCTGTTAACATTGCATTTACCTGAGTAGGAGATTAGAATGAACAAAAACAGTTTATATGGTACATTAATGTAAAAGAAATAAATATTAACGTCGTTGCGCGGCGTTATTCGACTTTTCGTGATAAACCGCGAGGAGATATATTCATATTTTTGGAAACATGTTAGCATTATTATTATTAATATTATTATTATTTCCCCCTTTTGTAATTATTAGAACACCGATAAGACGAAGAATCTACGATTTATAATTGTGAAAGCATACAGAAATATATGTTAGCGTTGTTTAAAACAGATAATATTATATTATGATACGAGATCATAAACAATGAATATGTTATGTAAATTTTCGCCTATGATTATTGCTACTATCCCTTCTTCTTCCAAATATTTTCACGACAGATTCGTCGTTCGTATCGCTCAAGAACGTATTTCTTTTTTTTTTTTTCGTTTTTATTTATCACAGTAGAAGGATATTCTTTATTGTTTCTTTTTCCCTTTTTTCCTTTTTTACATAACTTATCCGTTATTTTGCCGATACATTTTTAACGCGTTACGCTGTGACGTTCGGAAACAATTCGAGCAGTGCGGTTTTCGTGGCAAACGAAACGAAATCCTGCTTTGCAAAAGTACAAACAGAAATTATCGCTGTTGCTGCAAAACAAAAGTCGAATAAAACGGACGCGGCATGTGTTTCAAGTATAAAAAATGCACATTTATTGAAAGTGATATAAGTACAGTAAAAGGGTAATAGTTGTTTGTTTTTGTTCGTAAGACCGGTTATCGCAGCTGTAAGTGCACGTTTATCGACTCTCAATTGGGCCCATATACGATTTAACAGATTTGGGCAAAATTTCATTGGTGATTCGACGAATGAATATGTATATATATATGTATATTCGAGAGATATAATTGAGGGTGTAGAAGCTGTACGATGCATTTCGTAAATTCTCAACGATTCTAACAAATCTGCATTAATAATGCCCAATTCTGGTACAAAGCCATTCGTTAATTAGCTTTCGGGCAACGTTCTTTCTCAAAGTTGCCCGGAAAATTCGAAGGATATCAGAGCTATTAAACATGTTAAAATACTAAGTGCCTTTCCGTTTTAAATATCATTAATTTGCTATCACGTTTCATTTTTTTTACTTTCTTATCCTTCACCCTTTAACTGCTGAGATTTCTAACTTCACGCCGCCAAATAAAATTTCGAAATGAACGTCCGAAAGCGAAATCAGAGATACAATTGAAATGAAACAGCAAATACAGGTGTGTGTTGATAAACAAAAATCCCGAAGCAGTCAAAAGGTAGGTACTTCGCGTTAACCTTTCATTTCTTTTAGCATAAAGTAGTATATTATTTTGGCAAAACGATTCGTTTCTTTCGAAGCGAAACACTCGGTACAAAAAGCTACTCGCGTTAACCGAAACGCGCGACAGTAATTTTGACGTTGTGATAAAATACGAAAGCAAAAGAAGCAGGCGCCAATAATCACGAAACGCAACTTAAATCTAAATCAAGACTAGAATCTCTCTAAGATTTACCGATCGTTCAAGGCCTATTTTCTCTAGAGACACGAATTTAGTTTTCTTTTTTCTCTCTCTCTAATTTTTTACCTACTTTCTTCAATTATTTCTACTAATAAGAAGGAGTAACAAGATTGACGAGTTTCTCCCGCTGCTGGGTGACCTTGAGCAATCAACTAATCTCAGACAGACTGTAATTCGATGAATAGACCGCACTGCCTAGCCAAATATCGGTGAAACAACAGAAAAGACAAAGTCGAAGCTTTATCCATTTTTTTTCTTCTTTTTTCATGAACATTTCGTTGCAATTCAATTCACAAGGCCACGAAGAATTCACGAAAAAATTCTCCCGAAGGTTTCCCTTTTATTATTCTCGAAAAAACACAATCGAACGTGTTCGTTCACGATTGTTTCCATTTGATTAGTTTGAAACAGTAATTATCAGACTTTTATTTTTCCTTATCGTTTCTAATGATTTCGCTATTTTACGTACACGTACTCGACGAAGAATAAATTTCCCCTAAAAATCGGCTAATTGCGTTCTCGCGCTCGGCTAACCATTTTTCATCTTTTATTCAGTATCAAACGCTGATTATCTCTCTGCACGAGTATCTCGATTACACGAAGAGGCTACTATCGTTCCTTGGCACCAAAGTAAAGCCTTTCTTTATTTTTTCCTTTCTTTCGTTCACGGTGAGATTAGTGGCAGGTACGCGAGACGAGGGAATTATCAATCTGGCGACACAAGCTGAACTTCGCGATTAATGCGTTTGCTGATGGGAACATGATAGTGTATGCACGGGACGAAGGATCGTGATCAGGGTGGTGAACTGGATGAGGGAACGCCTACACAGCGATAGAGCATTAATTTGAATCCTAAGTGTGTTAATATTCCGTTGAGGTACGTCAAGTTGAAAATGAACGAAAATGATCGAGAGGAAAATATCTGAGAAACGTGGGAAGAACGGAATTGTTCTAGAAAAAAGTCTGGAGTAAGTATAAGTAGAAAAAGTAAACGAAGGGAAGTAGTTCAGTCTAAGAGTATTCACCTAAATATACTAAATCCTCTGTTATCGAATAGCACATTACACCATTCGAAAATCTACTGTTTAATAAAACCCGAATAAAAAATCTATTTGCTCTTCGATACGCTAAAAATCTTCGAACAGAAGAGAGATTCTAAATATTCTCTATACTTGATCGCAAATGAACTTAAACCTAAATTCTGCCCGCATAATTTCCATTCCACTCTTTATCCATGTCTCCCCTTCTCCTCTTCCTTTTCTTACAATCAAAATCTATGAAAGAGAAAATCTAGCTAAACACTCTTGCATCGATCCATCGTCTGTGTAGGTCTCGAGAAGACGCCTGGCGTCGCGTCCTCTTCGTCCTGGTCGAAGAATCGAAGTTCCATTTTGGGGCGTCGTGCGTCGAAGGGTCCGCGGTGCTGGCAGTGTCACTTTAGCGTGATCTTTTCCTCTTATTTTCTTTTCTTTCTCCTTTTCCCTTTCTCATTTAAACGATATATGTATTCAGAAGTGTGTGTATATGCTTGTCTGTGTGTATGTGTGTGTTATACACGTGTCAGAATAGCCGGGAGGGAATTAGCCCGCCTGCTAATATCCGGCCAGGTCGGCGAACGTCTTATCCATCTCGTCGGCGATCGCTTTGTACTTACAGCGCTCGTTTACCACCACGTCTGCAAATGCAAAAGGGAGGGTTACACGTGGCATTAGTCGGATATCAGACTCTGGAATTAGTTGGACACCCTTACCATCACCATATATCATTTTGTTAAAAAGAGAGAGAGAGTGTGTGTTATGACAGTTTAGTAGAGGAACTGGTTGATTTAAGTTTGACCATCAGTTTATTGACATGGGAAATTTTTCAGGGTACATCGTACATCTTCTCCAGGAGTGTAGCATCGATCGTTCTTTTTTTTTTTTTTTTGGTCATATTTATCACTTAACGGTAAATTTGCTTGATTATCAATATCGTTTGTTAACGGCTTATTGTCGTGGTAATAATTAAGAGTTACAGGGAAATCGAATATTCTTGGAAGGTCTGTAAAAAAATAAAAAAAATAAGTAGAAGTACTGTTTTGTTACAATTTACACATCTTTATTGTCGCTCGAAACATTTCATTGAAACAGTGACTTAAGGTGTTATCTACGTTTCTAACAGAGAGTGACCAAGAAAAATACACATTTCGTTTCAGGGCTAATCGTTTATTTGCCTGTTTGCCTGGTTACAAGGTATCGACGTATGGCGTATCGCGTTTTTGAATAAGAAAATCGCGCCTCGTCGAAATCTGAGTACTTACCGGACACGTTTTCGTCGCGGTAGTAATCATTACAGAAACATCGTAAACGAATAACAATGTACAAACCGTGACTCGACTAATTACAGTCTAGAACAGACGATAAAGTCGTTGATTAATTTACAAAAAAAGAAAAAAAGGAAGGAGAAAAAAAGAAAAGAGAAGTTTGACGATCGAGCGAAATAAAAATTGATTTATATATGTATAACAAGTTTTATGTTTATTTTTATTATATTTCTGGTGTACATGGTGATCAATATCAATTACAATTGTACTATTATTTTCCTGTGAATAATATAGAATTTAAAACAATGCAAACTTTGTAAATTCAACAATAATGAAATATTTTCGTACGTTTCTTTAGAAAGATTAGATGTTTCTCAATCATTAAACATTATTTCCAATCTCCCTTTTTTCACATACGCATTACACAAAATTTATACACGAGAAAATTGACGTATCGTTAATATCAAAATTTAATAAGAATCTGAATAGAATAGAATATGAAGAAGTGAAAAATACAGTCTATGTTTCTCATGCAAACAAGTTGCTATTAGAACCCGAAAATGTCACAATGACATGTTTTCACAGGGCCGCTTAGAATAATAATAATAATAATAATAATAATAATAGTAACGTAAGCTGATTGACCGGTTTTCACGAAGCCACCACGAACGTGTTTCTCTCGATGCACAAGTCCGGCCAATCGTTTCGACAGCAGATGGACACGTATGATCGCCGACTATCGATTAATTCTTCTCGATCAACTCGGTGAAGGTGAGGTCCAGATCGTCGCAGATGTATTTGTACTTTTCCTTCTCGTGTACGAGCTCGTCTGAAAGGAAGTGGTTCTCGTTAAAACTTGCCATTGATCAAATACACACGTATATATTCCATCAATTATATTTATATACACGAGATAATCCTAGAAATTGAAAAATAAATCACGACGTCGTATTATACGGCTGATGTGACGATGATTTCTTATGCCAATGAAAGCTAACCAATAAAAGGTTAGTCACTTTAACACCTTGCGTTTATTACGCCGCAAATTATGCGCAGTAGAATAATTCTCTGATATTTCACTGAATAATAATAAAAGAATAACGAAACAAACCCGCGAAGCAAGGCGTTAAAGTAGAAAAAGTGACACGAAGGCTTCCATGATATTTATCTCGATATCCTGTTCGAGTTGGTAGGATATCGATCGCGTAAATACGATCGATTAGACGTACTCGCGGTGTGAAGCTGTCTCTTAGCGAATTAGTGCCTCGAGATATCGTTAGTTAAGCGGGTTAAGAAGCTCTGAGAAGTAACTTACGGATTACGTGTGTTAAGAGCAAGCGAGATTGTGAGAAAGGTGATTGCATGATATTTGATGGTATGTAGATATATGTTTAATTTTTTGTTTTTTATTTGTTTTGGTCGAAGCGTTAGAGGGATGTTGGTTAGTTGGTTCGTTAGACGCCGTAGAGTTCCATGAACGCCTGATCCAATCCGTCTCCGATCTCCTTGTATTTCTCCTTCTCGGCCACCATTTCATCTGCAAGCATTCGCAATGTTATTTCGAAGAACGGCTCGCAACCCTTCTTCTATGTTCTACACGAGAGGTTAAGTGTTTTTTTTTTTTCGAGCAGATCTAAGCAGAATGTAGAAAGGTATGTGCTAAGCTGGACAGGAAGCAGGGAGGAGGCTTTTGTCGGTAGATTGAACGTTCTTGCTGAATATTTTAACAGAGATGAATGAGAGCCTGACGGTCTTCGTGAGAACGAAGTGTAGAAGACTGTGGAGACTCTATGTGTGAGCTATGGTGTATGACGTTGTAGATCGATATTTCTATCTTACGGTACGTATAAAGAGAGACACCTCTTGAACTATCGATTTATATTTCTATGAATCTATAATTTCCTAAGGGAGCATAAAATTCGTAAAAATATAAGAATACCGGATATTCGAATATTTCTTCGAATTCTGACAGCAAAGAGGAGGCCTTGTTCGAAGTGAAAAGTTGCAAGAATCGAAGGTGTTAAATACGGTACGTTAAAAAAAAAAAATCATTTCTCAATGTCGCGCGTTCTCCGTTTATGGAAACTTCGTCGACTAAAAGAGAAATGCTGCAGGGTTACGTAACCATATTTGTCCCATCGAATCGCGGCAACCTCGACTCGAAAAAATGATCTCTCTGCCTACAGAAACGAAGATTATTCGAATATCTCTCTTGTGTCAATGCTAAAGTTTGAAAATTATAAAGAATAGGTAGTTCATGCTGGAGATAAGAGGGACTGTGGACAAGGTGATAGTCGTAAAAACTAGCAAAGAGAAGACAAGCAAGTTTACTCACCATGATTGTTCGATACGTACCATCGATAGATCTCGGCAGATTCTCCTTTCGTGTGTGGTGGCATGCAACA